CATTTTGGAAAGCTTGGAATGTGTACTACAATCCATCTTTGAAATGCAAATCAAAATTCCAAGTGGAAGGGTATGAAAAGTGGCCTTGAAGTAGGGTAGAAAACCTTGTCAAAATAGGTCAAATTTCACTAAGTTAAAAGATGGTTTAGTGCCCTTATTCAAAAAATTATAACTTGAGATACAAGCTTCAAATGAGAAAACTTTGTGAATCAAAGTTGTAGATTATGCAACAAGCTACAACTTTCATGTTTTGACTTTTGTTTGAATCCAAATGGATCATGGTGAAAAGATGGAGCAAAGTTGGGAAAAAATTAGGGTTTTTCATAACTTAGAAAAATTCTAAGTTATGAAAAATTCCATTTTCAAACCCTAATTTGCATTTTGAGATTTCTTGGTGAACAAGTTTCATGATTTGGCATGTTTTGATGAAAAATGAATCTTGACTCTTGATTTTGACCAAAAAAGTCAAAGTTTGACTTTTCAGTATACAGTCAAAATTGATCAATTGACTGGGAAATTCAACTGTCAATCTTGTGTACTTGGGATCTTTTGAGCTTGATGAACATGTCAAGATAATTCCATTGAGTCCTTGAGGCCATATGTGAGCTTGGTTTGCCATTGGCTAGGTCAAACAGTCAAAAATTGCCTTTGTGCAGTCAAAACCCTAAAAATGACCATTTTGCCCTTTTGGTGATCTGATCAAATTTCTTGTGGAATTGTGATCCAAACTTGATCAAATGGTCCATATGAGTTCAATATGTTGATGTGGATCAAATTTCATGAGATTTGACTGCCAATTGGCCACAGTTGACTTTTTTCCCCAATACAGCTGATTTCTAGGTCAACTGTCCAATTGACTGGGCAAAACTTGGAATCAAGACTTGAAACTTGGCATGGGTAAACTTGGGAGTCCAACATGAAGCATGAAAGTCATCTTAGGCTTTTTTGGTAAAAACATCCTTAGGCAAACACAAACCCTAATTTGAGTCCACAGTGCAAAGGGGAAGTCCTGAGCAGAGGGAACCCTAACTGAATCTTAATCTTCAAAGGTCTTGTGATGAGAAAATGTTGAGGAAATGGGAGGGCAAATTTTGGGGTACAACAACCTCGAAGAAGGCATTTGTGTAAATACCTCGAAGAGGGAAATTCCCCATTCCCTTTTTAATTTTTTCTTGCAATCGAGTCAATAAAGAGTAGAATAATAGGGCTCGCAATCAACCCCCACACTTTCAAGTCCCTTGGTCATTCTTTGCTCGCGTCGTATGCTGATGCTTTGAACTGTCTGTCTCTTGTCCTTGAGTCAAATAAAAGTGGAAAGGGATCGTAATCATATGCCACACCTTGTCATCGCTTCGGCAATATCTTATATCACGTTTGTTAACGTTGATGCTTCGAGTTGTTACTCAGTTTTGTGATTGAGTTATTATAATGGAGGAAGGATCCTTCGACTCATCGACCTTTATTTTCATGTACAGTTATCTCATGTTTGATGCTTGTTAGCATCTTTGTGTGTTTACTTTTTTGAACTTTTGCTTGTTCTTTTAGGTTCACCTTTGCATGTTTCCTTAGGATCATTTATTTCGTTTTCGATTCAAGGTAGACATTAGGTTGTAATCCATGCATGCTAACTTAGATAGATGTTTCCCTTTTGTATCCAAACTTTAGGACCACCAATGCATGATAACATTAGAATTGTTAGTCTCCCTTAGACTTTTTCATTCCCCTTTTGCATTATTAAAACAAAAACTTATTTTCTTAAGAAAACTCTAAAACACTTAATAATGGAAGATGTGAATCGTATGCAGTTGATCCTGTGCGGTAGAGCGAATCGGTCCAGACTGAATCTTGCTCTTCTTTCACTTCCAGACTTTATTAAGGTTCAAATCACAAACCTTTTTGCAAATAAGTGGAGAAGTAGTGAGTGTCCCTCCGGTGGGATCCATTTGTTATTATCCAAAAAAAAACACCAACCAATTCAAATCTTTTTGTCTTTGGGATGCCTTCGGCTTTTCTATGAAAACCTTTTCCTAAAAGGATGTATTATTTCCTCTCCCTACAAACGACGCGTAATTCCAAAGGTCGGGTGAAACTATGCCAACTGTTGGAGTGTGAATGTAATATTATCCGCTTAAAAAATGCAAACTGACCAGCATTTTCTAGGAGAACTACGAGTGCGTTGATCCCCTACTGCATGAAAGGTGGTACGTAGGCACTGAAAATTCATAATCGTGGCGGACATGACTAATAAAACCTTTTTCTTTGTATATACACTTTGAATTCATGAATTTTCCCTTAGTTTTATTGGCTTTAGATATGAACACACTCTTTGATTAGAACAACAAGTGTGAATCCCATGGAGTACCACAGACGTGAGGGCTGCTAATACCTCCCCCTTACGTAATCGACTCCCGTACCCGATCTCTCGGTCGCAAGACCATGATTTCTCCCTTCTCAGATTTTTCTTTGATGATTTTCCTTTCCCTTCTGTAGGATAAATAAATACCCGATGTCAACTTCATTGATTTTCTCTCGATGATTTTTGCAGTTGCTTCAAACACCCCATATTAATTTCATTAAAAAATTTAGAAATTTAAGACACCAATAAATTATAAACTAATTTTTATGTATAGAGTTGAAATTGAGATCACAAATTACATGATGTTGCACCAACACATGTGTATATTATATTTTAGTATTTAATTTTTTGAGTCATTAAATTATTGTTTTCAAAATTAAATTTTAAAAAAATAAATAAATAATGTACCCTTTAAAAATATATTTTACAAAAAAATATATATTTTTATATTACATATTAAATTTATTTATTATAGGTTTTTTTTAAGAAAATTATTATTTTATTCAACTTTTAAATTTTATATATTTATATTAAAAATAATTCCTTCAAGGCATCTTTAAGTTCTACAAGGATTAATATTTAAAATGAATATGAAAATATAAATGAAAAGTTATATTAAAAGTTGAAATATACCTTTATTCTAAAACCCTCGAGGAACACTTTTATTTTACTATTTTATTTTATTATTTTAGTTGATTACAATATTAATCATTTTTATTTAAATCGGAGTAATGATGATAAACAACCCCTAATAAAACACAATCATGATAGTAATGCAAAATATTTTATGGGAAAACAACGGTTGCTAAAAATATGTCATAATCATAGTGGACAGAACGATTACTCAAAAGACAAACGACGGTCTCACGAAAATGCTTTGACTTAAGCATTATGCCCATCCACGCCTCGCACATGGGGGTTATGTACTTCCAGAAACTAAAAAAGGTTTTACTCAAGCGCTTTGTGCATTCATTCTCGCGTTTGGGGTGTTATGTACTTCTAAAAACTAAAGATGACTTTACTCGAGTGCTTCGCCCCTCCACGCCTCGCGCTTGGGGGCTATGTTCTTCCAGAAACTAAAGACAGTCTTACACAAGTGCTTCGCCCCTCTATGGCTAACGCTTGGGGGGGGGGGGGGGGGGGTATGTACTTCTAGGAAATTAAGAACGCATTTACTTAAGTGCCTCACCACTTCATGCCTCGCGCTTGGAGGGACTATGTACTTCCAAAGAAAATAACGTCTAACCAAGACGCCAAAGAGGGACCTTCCCGCAAGGTCTCCTAGAGAGAACCTCCCCACGAGGTCGTCCAAAGTTAGATCGTATACTAACCCACCAAGACTTCACCAGATCAATTGTATTCCAATCCACCAAAAGACACTGCCCTTTAATAGTAATTATGATCGTATTAAAGCAGTATTCAGTGATACGATTATTCAGAAGACAGGGAGATATACGACAATTATGATCAAAAAACATAGAAATAATATCATAATGAAGAGATTATAAATAGGTTCATCCCCTCTTCAAGAGGAGAAGCAATCCATAAATGTGAAACACATTACTTCAATGCGTCTTCTTCTGACCGGCATCAGAGAAGTTAACAATATTGTTGCAGGAACACCCCATATTAATTTCATTAAAAACTTTAGAAATTTAAGACACCAATAAATTATAAATTAATTTTGTATGTATAGAGTTGAAACTGAGATTACAAATTATATGATGTTGCACCAATGCATATGTATATTATATTTTTAGTATTTAATTTTTTGAGTCATTAAATTATTGTCTTCAAAATTAAATTTTAAATAAATTAATAATGTACCTTTTAAAAATATATTTTACAAAAAATATATTTTTTTATTACCTATTAAATTTATTTATTATAGGTTTTATTTTTAAGAAAACTATTATTTTATTCAACTTTTAAATTTTATATATTTATATTAGAAATAATTCCTTCAAGGCATGTTTAATTTCTACAAGGATTAAAATTTAAAATAAATATAAAAATATAAATGAAAAGTTATATTAAAAATCGAAACATACCTTTATTCTAGAACCGTCAAGGAATACTTTAATTTTACTATTTTAGTTGATTACGAATTAATCGTTCTTATCTAAATCGAAACACTTTTTGTAGTTTTAAAAATTTTAGAACATTGGCATAAAATTAGTTTTGTTCAGTTAAAAAAAAAATTCTAAAACACTGTCACAAGTTTGAATTTTAAACTTTTATTATGTCATTTTTAACTATTATGAATAATATTTTTCCTAATAAACTATTTCAAATAATATTAAATATTTTTTGAGATTTCCCAAAATAATCAAAGTCTTAAATTAATAAAAGCCTAGAAGCATGAAATTAATAAATACGATACGCAAAATAAAGGAAAAAATCTTAAATTAATAAATCTAGAAACATGAAATTTATCAAATTCCCTTAATAAACTAATACTTTTGGCTCCAAAACGTTTTTAATTATATTCCAGTCAAAGTAGTTTTAATAGTTATCTCAACTTTAAAGAGTTTTTTTGTTATTATAAATAGGGTAGAATAGGTGTTAACCAAAAATAAAGAAAAAAAATAGAAAACTTGAAAGTGTAAGAGTTAGCAGAAAGAGTGATAGTGTTGTTGATATGATGGAGTTTGAATACGAGTGGCTGAAAAAGCTATGGTGGACAGTAGGGTTGATAGTGATAAGCAGTGTTGTAATATTGGTGGAGAAAGTGTTGTTGAGGCCAAGAAGGATTCGAAAGACGCTTGAGAAACAAGGTATCAAAGGACCAAAGCCTTCTTTTCCATTTGGCAATGTTACTGAGATGCAACAGATTCGTCCTCAACGCCCTAAATATGCTGATATCACTGAAGAATGGGTTTATTCTTTGTTTCCATATTTTCATACATGGAAACAACAATATGGTATGTCAAAATTCTTTGTATTTTTAGTTAAATATAATCTTTCTTTTTAAAGTTAAATATAACCTTAAATGATATAAGAAATTAAAATTCTCAAGTGCATCAGTTTTTGTTTCTCTTACTAAGGTCTATTGTTTTGGCGAACTAATGTGATGATCAGGTTCATTATTTATCTACTCCACCGGAATCAAGCAACATTTATATGTTGAGGATGCTAAAGTTATCAAAGATTTGAGTGTGCATATGTCCCCTGATCTTGGTAGGGTTGAGTATCTAAACAAAGCATTATTGCCAATGCTTGGAGATGGTATGGTCAGAGCCAATGGGAAATCATGGATCTTCCAAAGAAATCTTATTATTGCTGAATTATTCATGAGCAAAGTGAAGGTTAGTTTATGCTACCTCAATTTCCTCCTTACTCTCATTCTTAGTATATTTTTCTTATAAAAAAAATTACTTTTTTAAATTTATTAAACAATCTTCGATCTGGACGCCATCATCAAAATTGAAACTCTGAATAGTTTGAGTTTCTAGTGATTATTGCCACTTTATTAATTCCTCTGTATAGTTTGGATACAATAATTATTTAATAAATATAATTATTTTTTGTTTATTTTATGTAGACTATGATGGGTCATATGGAAGGTTCAGCCCTAGAAATTGTTCAAAAATGGGAAAGGTTAATAAATGAAAGTAAAGACAAGATTGTAGAGATAGTGATTGAGAATGACCTCAAGGTTCTTTCAGAGGATATCATTTCCAAAGCATGTTTTGGCAGTGATTATACACAAGGAAAATATATTTTTGAAATCTTAGCAAGGATGCAAAACAAGCTCTCAAAGACTAGTACTCTTCTAGGATATCTAAACCTAAGGTAACTTGCACCACAAGTTAATCAACACTATCTTAATTATATATATTATCATATACCATCTGCTAATTAAGTTTGTTTATCAGTTTTCTCCCTTCTAAGGAAAGCAAAGAGATATGGAAATTGAAGAAAGAGGTTGATGCATTGGTACTGAATATCATACATGCACGTGAAAAGCAAAACCAAGAGAACAACAATGGAGAAAAACAAAACGATCTATTACAGAAAATAATAGAAGGTGTTGCACATGAGAAACTTTTGAATGCTAGTGGAAAGGGTACTTTGAAACCTGGCCATGACATGAACCAGTTGATCATAGATCTCTGCAAAAGTATCTATTTTGCTGGCTCTGAATCCACTGCTATTACTGCTGTTTGGGCTTTGTACCTTATTTCGGTTTATCCCGAATGGAAACAACGTATTCGAGATGAGATTTCGGAAATCTTCGGTGATGATGGGCCTCCTTCGTTTACCGACATGACCAAACTTCAGAAGATGAAAACGGTTAGTGTACATCAATTTTTTTTACATCTGCCGTTTCTGATGAGATTTGAACTTTGTACTTAGAAATTATAAGGTTAAGTTCTTACCATTATGATAACACTTAGATGTTTTTATTGTGTAGCTACATATGGTGGTTCTAGAGAGTATGCGTCTCTACGGTCCTGCTGTCACGAACTCGAGGGAGACTTTTGCCGATTTGAAGATTGGAGATTTAGTGCTGCCTAAAGGATTATACTTATGGATGTTTCTTCCATTGCTGCACCGCGACGTTGATAATTGGGGACCAGATGCTACTGAATTCAAGCCAGAAAGATTTGCTAATGGTATTTCAGGAGCTTGTAAGTATCCTCAGGCTTACCTGCCCTTCGGATATGGGAGCCGATTTTGCCTAGGCCAAAACTTCACCTTGACGGAAATTAAGATCGTGATCTGTCTTATGGTTTACAATTTCGACTTTAAGCTTTCGCCGAACTATGTCCATTGTCCTACATCGAATTTGTTGTTGGTGCCAAAATATGGTGTGAAGCTTCTTGTTAGCAAGCGTAATGCAGGAAAATGATGAATATGGTTTGTGTTGTTTTGAATTATTATGATCATTCAAAACTATATAGTTCTTGAGGTGACAGACTTTGTTGGTTTTGATTGATATCAATAATACATCCTGGAGTATCAAGAATACTTCTTATGGCTTTTATTCTCTAATTCATTAATATTTGAGTTTTACTTTCATGTATGGTTAGAGTTATTAACTATGATTTCAAACAATTTCATTGTATGAAATAAAGCAAAGAAGAACATTTCAATGCATGGACTCATATGGTTTCATACGCTTGTACTAAAGCACATAAAGTTGAAGATTTGAATCAGTTGCCCTCAACCTACTGGATGAACTATGATTTTCTATAAAATATTTTTTTTTTAATTTTACTTTATTTCTGACTTTGCTATTTTTTTGTATTTTTTTAGTTTATTCTACTTGGTTTTGTGTATTTTTAAAATTAACTTATGTCTTTTAAAAATTTTGAAAAATTTTGTCAACACTTGTTGACTTGTTTTTTATTTTTGGTAATTTTTTGGGATTTTTATTTGGTGTTTTGATATAATTTGTGTATTTCATCAATTAATTCTAAATCATTTTCCATTTTAATTTTATTTTAAATTATTTTGATTGCAATATTAATTTTCTTTTTATTTTGGTTCTGACTTAGACCAAATTTTTTTGTTATATGGAAATGACACCTTGATCCACTTTAATTTTGGTTCTATTTTTGTTCTTCTTTATCTATTTCTATTTTTATTTTATTTCTAGTTATGACTTAATTTTCCTGGTGGGGGTGCTTCTTTGTTTCTTTATTATTGTTACATCCCCAGTGTTATTTTTGCGTCTCTTTGGTCCTGTTCATAAGCATTCATGATCATAAGCATTTGCATGGTATCTTAGAGCCAAAAATATGGTTTGTTTTATATTTAAGTATCTTCGATCGCGTCGACATGAAGATTTTTAACCTTCGTATCTCCAGATAGAAGAAACTTAAATAAGGACAGCCGTTGTACCCTAATTTTCGCCTCTAAGATCCCTTCATCATACCATGTTGATTCACTCACAACAAGATCACACTAGGATTCTTGGTTCCCCTTCCTACATTTAATTTTGCCCTTTTTGAGGGATTACCAAGCACCTTGACTTATGTTCCTTTTGTGATCATGAAGATTATTTTGTTTTCTTCATTTAACTAATAAAATACAATGTTGGTTTGTCTTGCTTGTTATCCATGTAGGTGAAGGCAATGAGATTTAACAAGCTACCTCATGGGTTCATGACTTTATTTTCATGCCCTAGTCAATATCGCTTGAGAAGTTCAAACCTCACCATTGGATTAGTTTTGGGAGAATTGACATGGCAATGTTGCTTTGGTTCATCACATTTCAAGGTTATTAGATTTGACTTAAAAGTATAAGGGGTTGATTGGAGAAGTTGTCATGTTTGGACAAGGCCTTGTTCCTATTGGTCACAAGAGCATATTTCTATCAAATTTCAAGATATAAAAGTGGTTTTGGTGGCTATGAATCCTCATTATCATCCTAAACAACTTCTATTCACAAAGCAAGAATATTGGTACAAGAAGTTTGTTCAAACTTGTCAAAGTTCCTCAAAGCATTTTCTTGATCTAGGAGCTAGAGTTTTGAACTTCAAAGGAGTGCATCTTGCTCACCTTTTGGTATTTTTGAGTGATTCCAAAGATATCCTCCTCTTCAAAAGATATCAACAAATCACTACAAAAGTTTCAAGGAGTTTTCATGTGGAAGGAACTTGGTGAAGAAGAAAGATTACAAGTCATCCAGATGAACCCACAATTTTACATGAGTGACTTCAAATGGTCCTAACTTGGTCAATTTTTATCACCTTGAGTCCATTATTTTTCCATTGCAAAGCTTGTAACCTCATCTTTCAAAAGCATCAAGAATCATGTCCTAAGACCCCTTGAGTTAAAAATTCCATTGGTCAGAAGTTGGCACTTTGAAATTGAATTTCTCACCAAGTCAGAATTTTGAAATTCATAATGTGGCCTCTAATCACAAGTTTTCCACGCGTTTTTGCCTCTAAACATGTTAAGTGAAGTTCCAGATTTGTTTAGCGCATCAAAATGCAAGAATTGGATGAGTTTTGATGAAGTTTGTATCACACTTCACTCGTGCATCAGGTGTGCACGATTTCCCTCCAAAACGCATCATTCACTCTTCCTTTTGATCCCATTCGCTTCTCCTATAAATACATGAACTATCCCATTCAATTTCCCAAGCTTGGATAGCCAGAATCACCCTGTCAAACTTGCTCCATAACTCAATTTTCTGTAACTTCAAAATCCATTCTCGACCAATTTTCAATCCAATTTTTCCATCAATTCACCTTCCTTGATCTTTCCTGAAGCTAACCATATAATTACATTCAAGAATCGTGCCTTATACTGCTCCATAGAAGTCCAGTTTCAGAGCTCTGCAACTCAACTTCAATAGGTAGATTCCTTCATCAATTCTTCAAAACTCTAATATCATTGTGTTGCTCTCATTGCCCCGGTTCTAGTTGCAACACTTACCTTTTACTGGAAACACGTTTTGACCATGAAATTTCAAATCCCGTTTCAAAACATTCCTTCCAAATTGCTTGAGCTACAGTTTATATAAAATTTGGCGCGAGTGTGTGGTTGTCTTCGTCTTGAAGAGACGAAGCGAATGACATAGATCTGAGCTTCTGATTTTACAGTTTGAGAGACCTGCAATTCGTGATGGCTGGAGGTTGAAGATGGCCAACGTGTCATCTTCTAACCAATGAAGGTGCGCCATCTGTATTTTTCAAATTCTGATTTAATTAATGATTATGTACAATATTCACTAATGACCATGATATGCACAACACGCCAGATCCCTTGGATTTGATTACTAACGTGTTTTGACTTTCATCCAATGGTCCACATATTTTACTTTTATTTTCTTTTTCTGATTTTTATATTTTAATTGTTTTAAATTTCAAAAAATCATAGAAAATTCATTTTTAGTCCTAAAAATCTGAAAAAATTATGAAAAATATTTTTGATTATTCTCTTTCTGATTTTTATTTTTTCACAATTTAATTTTGTGTTTTGGTATTTTTTACAAATTTTACACTTATTTGATTTGTTTTAAATGTTTAAAAATACTTTTATACATTTTTAAATTCTGAAAAAATTATGGAATGATCCAATGATATTTGACAAATATTGGTGACCTTATCTTATTTTTGTTTCTAACTTTACTATTTTTTACCATTTTTTGTTTATTTTACCCATTTATTTTAATTTTAAAAATAGTTTCTGACTTTAAAAAATAACCAAAAAATTGTAAAATTACTTGGGCCTTTTTCTAATTTTTCTATGGTCTTACTTTTTATTTCTTGATTAATTTGAACATAGTTGATATTTTTCTCATTATTTTCTATTTTTAAAACATTTTTAAAAATCCTTTTTTGTGTATATTAAATGTGATATTATTTTGTGATTATTTTTTGGCTGATCTTGGGTTAAATTTTGGATCATGAACTTTATTAACATCATTGGATCTATAGTGTTGAGTTTAACTCCACAAAAATGGATGAATGATTTTAATAATAGTTTGACTAAAATTTAATTCAAATGTGGTTTGTATATTTTTCCCATCCCTCTTCATCTCTTCCCTTTCTTATTGCACTAGATGTTGTTGGAGTATGATCTTTATATCATGTCTCAAAATAAATGGTGTATAGATTGCTATTGACCGACCTCAAAATAGGTGCGACTTCTATATAAGTCCACTTACGATTGCTTAACATAGCACTAAATTTTGTCCCAATTCGAATAAATGATCATTCATGGCCAAAATTTATGATTGCAAGCCCAAGTATGTTAATTTGATCTCTTTGATCCAATAACCTTGAGATTCATTGTGTGGAGGCTTTGGTTCTACCAATCCTCTAATGGATCTACAACACCTTTGGTCAACGCGGATCATTTAAACATTGTTGATCATTAAATAATACTTATGAGAATTCCAAATGGATGATATACTTGACAAAAAGCAAATGTAACTTGTTGTGTGGAGGCTTTGGTTCTACCAATCCTCTAATGAGTTCAAAATGCAAGCTTCAAGATGGTCATCCAACTAACCACTAATTATTGACTTGTTTACCTTATACTTTTTTTTATGCTTTATGTACTATTTACTTTTAGCATTTATATTTCATGCCATTTTCATCTTTGCTCATTTGAGCATTTATTTTCTTGCCATTTTTTACTTTGCTCACTTGAGCTTTTCTTTTCCTTTCTTAAGACACTTAATAATCAACATAAACCCTAAAGAATCTTTAATGGTGCTTGGACTATTTGGTTACTATCCTCGGAATTATGGAGCATGAGACTTTTCTTGGACTTAGGATTAGAAACCTTGACCTATCTTGGAGATCTTATCTGATTATTTTGTCTGTAGTTCTTGAGGTTTACCTCAAGATATTGGGTTGCTTGTTTGTTTTTGTGTGCAAGTTTTTGTGATTACACCCTTTGTTTGTAATTTGGAATTCACCCGTATACAGTCGTTACTCTGCCCAATTTTTTGTGAAGACTTAATACACTTGAAGTTTGGTTCTCTCAAGAGGTCTAGTATTTCTTTGCTTGATTGGTTTCAATCCAAGGAATGAGAATTCTATCTTGGCTCATAATGTCAAGTATTGGTTTCTTGTTGGTTAGATGGTTCTTATCCCTAGTTTTTACCTTATGCTTTAGGATAGTCCCTTCTTCTCCTCCCATCTTCTTTAATTTCAAAAATCTTCTTTCCCTTTTTGAAAACTCTTCTTGTTTTTGAACTTGAACCACTTTCATAATAAACTTGGACTTATGTCCATGCATTTTCAAAACATTTTTCATAAATAAACTCTAATCGACTTAATAATTCCTTGACATTTTTGTGAGAAGACTAAAAGTCAATCAATCTCATTTCAAACCATTTTGCCACTTTGGATTTTATCTTTAAAATTTTCTCAAAAAAGGTTGAACT